TACATATTCTTTTCAGGAAAACAATTTTATCTAACATTGCAACCATACAGTCAGTTTTGGGGGAAAGTCCTACTTAATTCACTGGGTTTTATCTTCCCTCCATAGAAAGGAGTTGCACAGTAGCCTTTGCCAATAAATTCAGTTTAATTGTGGCAGGAAGAGGGGGCAAGCTCAGAAAAATAGATTTATTATTTGACAAACGTGCTTTTAGACAAGAATCTCAGGAAGAGATTCACTTCAGAAACAAATGGGATACTAAGCTTCCCCCATTTGTTTTAAAATTAATTGCTGAGGTATACAAGCTTTCTATGATATTCTGCATTTGCTTTTTAAGAAAATTCTAGACTTTTGATATCTGTTAAATAAACAAGAATGTGCATGAAGTGTCTTATATATTCCACCACCTGGATTTATCACTTCCTGTAAATGTGGAGATTGCATTCACTTTCACACAAGTGCACTGATCTCAATAATGACTATGTGCCAAACTGTATTTAGAATAGATTTTTGGTTAATGATATATATGGCACGTCCATCAGAGAGAAAAATTGGAGTTGAAAATAGTTGACCCTCATGTACATTAAAATGTAATCTTATGCTTAGAGGCCTTTCATTTTGAATGGAAAGAGTCAGCATTAATGTATGCTGTCCATCCCTTTATTTTTGTCAGTGTAACAATCTTCTAGTTATTTACTTGATACATAATATGCTATTAAACCTGAGGATCTTCTCCATTAAAAGCAATGAACCTTTAAATAAAGGTGCAACTTGCTTTATTTGCGCTTTAGAAGATGTCTTGGGATATTTTTTTTCCTTCTGCAATAAAGCAAACATATTAAAGGACCTGTATCCAAAGAAATGCAGGCAGAACTCTGTGCAACTGGTCTTTTCCATTCCTGTCTCTTACAGCCTTGTGACCTCTTCTCATTTCTCATAAAAACAGAGGACCCAGAATTGGGGGGAGCAGCTTGCATAAGTAAAAATGTCTTTGTTCTCACATAACACCTTTTTGGAACCAGCCCATAGTGTATGAGAAATGCCATATATCGAGCACCTACACTTGAGTTATCTTGAGCCATTTGGTTCACTTTTACATCATCTATAAAGGTGTAGTCACAGTACAGAGATAAATTAAATGGCTTGCTTTTTCATTACTGTGGAGAAACTTCAAAGTATATGTCCTCCCCCTCCCCAAAATCCCTATGCAGCAACAAGTTCTGTTCAAACTAATGTGCATATCACTCCCCTCCAGTGTTATTTGCATCATTTGTCCTGCAAGTGGTAAATGCTTGTAGAACCAGTGTTGTGTAGTAACAAATAGAGCCTCCATCTGCTGCGTGAAGATACATATGAAGAGAGTTCTTCTTTGTGGAAGGTCAAAAGGCTTACAAAATGCAGCCTTTCAGGAACACTCCCTTTCCGATCTTCATCATTTGCAAACTAGAAGTTTATAGTTACCGTATTTACAAAAGGTCAGCAATAGGCAAAATTCCTTATTCTGCCCAGGGTGTCACTATTGATTGTATTACAAGAAGGCACAATCTTGCATTAATTGCTCTAGTTAAAATCTATGTCTTTTAGAACTGAGAGACTATCCCAGGGGTAGGCAACCTTTCCCCTTTAAGGGCCGAGGGACTTCAGCTCCCAGAAGCCTCAGCCATGTTGGCCAATAGTCTCATGTTGGCCAATAGCTCCTGGGATTCTGGGAGCTGAAGTCCCTCGGCCCTTAAAGGGGAAAGGTTGCCTACTCCTGGACTATCCATTCAGTCTCATATTGCCCTTTAAAAAATGTCAAGCTTTCTAGAATTTAAGGTCAGAGTTATTTTAATATTTAGGAAATGTAAGGAAAGTCCATGTACACTGCTTGCAGCACCTTCTATTTTTGCTGCTAATGTGGGATTGTATATGAAAAGGAGGTTTTCAAGGAAAATACCAAGAGTACTTCAAACAAATTGTATTACTAAAGTAGCGGTTAGCTTTTTGCAGGAATGTATAATGTCACCATTTCCCACTTATGATAAGGAATGACTCTGCCAGTCAGCCAATGCAACTCTAGACTACCTTCAGCAGCACAGAAACCACGCATACACCTAGGCTGTATATTTCTGTATTAAGGGGGTATATGTGTCTACACATACTTTCATAGGAGCTTTTAATACTACTCCATTCTGTGGAAGTACTGGGTATTGAGAGTTCTGTGCTAAAAAGTTCTAGTGCTGTGGTTCAGAGGAGTGAACAGTTAAAGTACCATGAAACTGATATGTTTATTAGTGCAGTCCATGTTCTATGTTTAGAACATGAGGGGGGAATTTTCGGACCTCTGAAATACAACTATTCCAATCATTGCTTACCACTACCCACGTTGGCAGGGAGTGCAGGAACATGTGAAGAGCCACAGATAATGCAGTCTTGATTTTAAGGGTGAGAGAGTATGAAAGAAAAGTCCAATGTTTAGACTTCCCTAGAGAAAGTGAGGAGCCAGCATGGCATTGTGGTTTGACTATTGAACTGTAACTCTGGAGACCAAGATTCGATTCTCAGCTCGGCCATGAAACCCACTGGGTGATCTGGGGCAGGTCACAGCCTCTCAACCCCAGAGCAAGGCAATGACAAACCTCCTCTGAGCAAATCTTGCCAAGAAAACCCCAGGATACCTCGGAAACAACACACATAGAAACTGGGAATCAAGTCTGAATTTTAGCTCAAGCAAATAGGCCATCACAGCTCACACAATGTTCATCTCTTATCACGAACAGTTTTTAAATTGTTCTCTACTCATAGTATTTGAAAACAAAACCATTGTTAGTTGTTGCAATAGTGGGAAGGTAATTTATTGATTGCATCACTTGTTGCACAACATGTTAATTTTCAAATACTTAAAAAAAGGATACATGAATGGCATAAAACTTGGAAAATACCTGTCAAAAAAGTTTCAAAATGCTAGCCAGTCATTGCTCAAGTAGCTTTACCCTTGCTTGCTACATTACTTCTGAGCTGTAGTTTTGCCAGTTCCTCCTTCTTAAAATAACTAGCTACAGTTAGCATTACTTTGACTTTATTATTTACAAATGCTGATCATTTAAACAACTTGTTTGCCTACTCAAAAATAAGCAACAAGAAGTAGTGAGGTGTTCTAAAGCCTGTTGATTTTGATTTAAATATTTTTAAAAATTTTAAGTGGGTTAGAGCTGCCTCCTGCAGACTATACCCCTACAAAGTGCAAGGAGAAACCTGTGCAGCAGTCAGGAGACAACCTGGGCATGACTGAAGATGGGGCCTCGATATCAAATGAAAAGATGTGGAGAGATACATTCCCCCAAAATTTGGACAAGTGGAAGGAGGGACTGAGGTAGTCAATCTCAAAGTTTGCTTTTGAATGCAAACATTTGCCAATTTAGCCATGACTATCCTACAGAATTGTAGGATTTGTAGTTTGGTGAGGCACCTGAATGCTTTGGCAGAGAAGGCTAATGACCTAGTAAAACTACAAATCCCAGTTTTCTGTAGGGTAGAGTCATGGCAGTTAAAGTGGTGCCACACTGGTTTAATTCTGCAGTGTCGATACATCCAAACATAGGTCCCTACACTTTAGCAGACTCATATGATTCAAAAAGTTCTTGATTGCAATATTTTCTGGAAATATTCGAGCACAATCCACTATGCCAAAATAATATTTTACCGGTAAATTCAGTTTTTAGATTCTTAAATCAGGGTCTAGTTCTAACAATTATTTGGGAGGGGGCAAAACTATGGAGTTAGCTTAAACCTTGGAAGACTCATGCACACATTTTCCTGAGAGCCAATCCCACAAAATTCATGGGGAGTGACTTCTCGCTTTGGGGCCCTTCAGTTAAGGATGGGCTTGCTCAGTGGATCTGGTTTACTCCTGATTCCCAACACATGAGCACAAGCTTCCAAGCAATTGCCCCAAAAATTCATAGAATTGGAAGAGACCACAAGGGCCAGTCAGTCTAACCCCTTGCCATGCAGGAACCCACAATCGAAGCAACCCCAACAAATGACCATCCAGCCTCTGTTTAAGGACCTCCAAAGAAGGAGACTCTACCAACCTCCGAGGGAGTTTGCTCCACTGTCGAACAGCTCTCACTGTCAGGAAGTGCCTCCTAATATTGAGGCGGAATCTCTTTTCCTGTAGTTTGAATCCATTGCTCCAGGTCCTGTTCTCTGAAGCAGCAGAAAACAAGCTTGCTCCAACCTCATAATATGACATCCCTTCAAATATTTAAAGAGGGCTATCATACCCCCCATTAACCATCTCTTCTCCAGGCTAAACATATCCAGTTCCCTACGTCTTTCCTCATAGGGCATGGTTTCCAGACCCTGGATCATTTTGGTTGCCCTCTGGACCCACTCCAGCTTCTCCACATCCCTCTTGAATTGTGGTGCCAGAACTGGACACAGTATTCCAGATAAAAGGTACATTTACATTGTAGAAATAATTCAGTTTGGCACCACTTTATGTGGTATAGCTCCATTCTGTGGTATCCTGGGATTTGTAATTTCACATGGTCTTTTGCCTTCTCTGCCCAAGAGTGCTGGAGCCTCACAAAAACTAAAAATCCCAGGATTCAGTAGGATGGAGCCATAGCCATTCAGTAGGATGGAGCCATAGCCTTTAAAGTGGTGTCAAACTGCATTACTTCTCCAGTGTAGATGCACCCCCATCCATAAGGTGCTTCCTCTCTTTAATCTATTGTCTTTCCTCCCATTTCTCATGTATGCCATTCTTTTCTTTGGTCCCACTTGTTATAACTCTTCCTTATAGAAACATGTTCCCATTGCCATATACTCTGTGTGTGTGTGTGTGTATGAATAGGGCTAGGATTCTGTAGGATGGAGCCTTGGCCATTAAAGTGGTGCTGTACTGTGTTATTTCTGCAATGCAGATGCACCTGAAGTCTGACCAAAGTAGAACAAAGTGGCATTATAACTCCTATAGGTTGAAAAGAGCAAATTGGGAGAATTAATTCCTCTGGGGAGCCAGCGTACCATAGTGGTTTGAGTGTTGGATTATGACTCTAAAGACCAAGGTTCAAATCCCCACTCTGCCATAAAACCCATTGGGTAACCTTGGGCAAGTCACACTGTCTCAGCCTCAGGGGAAGGCAATGCCAACCCGCCTCTGAAGAAACTTGCCAAGAAAACCCCAGGATAGGTTCGCCTTAGGGTCGCTGCAAGTTAAAAATGACTTGAAGGCACACTCCTTGCACAAGGCTCCTGGGCTCAGGGATGACCCGATGTCCTCATAATCAGAAAGGAGGCCAAGGCATTGCAAAATATAGGCCATTCAAGAAAAATGGAGGGCATGACTAAAAGTTAAAACCATTCATAGACATATAATCCATGCTTCTTAGTCATGCTTAAAATGGAGGGCATTTTGGAACTCCTCCTGGACAGAAGGCTTGAAATGTATGTAGGTCCTGGTCCTGGAAAAGGAGGACGTGCCTGGTCACTCTGGGTTTGATTCCCAGCTCGGCCACTGGGGATGCACCTTGGCTGAGTCACACTCTCTCAGCCTCATGGCAAAAAACCAAAAACAAAACCTTCTGAAGAAATTTGGCCAAGAAAACACCAGGATAGGGTCACCATAAGTTGGAAAAGACATGAAGGCCCACAACAACAACAACAACAACAACAACAACTCCCCTGAGATGGAGGAGAACAGTGCCACCCACACAACTGGAGCAGCAAAGGTTTGCTCTGCTGTCAGATGGAGGACAGTGTTCCCTGTCCTGTTATTCCACACGTTTGTTTTGTTTTGTTTTGTAATGTCCTCCATTTGTGGCACCCTGTTCTCCTTTCCCAGGACCTTTGTTCAGGAGGGATTGCAAAATGTCCTCCATTTTGAGCAGGACTAAGGGCCTGAACAGACTGCCAGAAGCAATCCAATTTGTCTTGGCTCAATGCTAGGGAATTATGGGAATTGTAGTTCTTCTGAGACATTGAGCCTTCTCTGTCGGAGCTCTCGTGCCACAGTAAACTACAGTTCCCATGATTACCTAGCACTGAGCCAGGGCAGTTAAAGTGGTCTCAAACCGGGTTATTTCTGGCAGTCTGTTCAGGCCCTAAGAAACATACATTCCCTGAAGGCAGAGAAGAGGAAAGAAACCGTCGAGGCCTTCTCTCCTGGCCACAACCAGAGCCTTCCCCTCCCTATTCACTATTGCCTTTCCCTCAGCTCTGGCTAGTTTACCTCACTACACTCTTACGGTGCTCTGGCTCCCTCCTGTTGCATTCTGGGTTATGTAGTTCAGTGAGGCCTCAGAGCTCTCCGACTGAGAATTCTAAACGTCCTTCCTTAAACTGCAAATCCCACAATGCAACAGGAAGCGGCCAGAGCAGTTAAAGTAAAGAACAGCAGCAGCACTGTGAGAGTCTAGTGAGGGCCGAATGGCGGCGGGGAGCTGGAAGCGCTGTTGCCGCTCTCTGAGGCAATGGACGCTGCTGCCTCTGGGTGAGTAGCGCCTGAGTAAACTGGAGTCCCCCTGGCTTTCTCTATGGGGCCTTGCAGGGCCTGAGGTGGTGGTGGTGGTTGCTATTGTCGCCTTAACGAAGGTTAACTGTAATCCAGCACTTTGGGCTCTGTAGTCATCTGGAGAAGACAAAATCCTTGCAGATATGATATAGGTCAGGGATAGGCAACCTTTCCCCTTTAAGGACCGAGGGACTTCAGCTCCCAGAATCCCAGGAGCTATTGGCCAACATGGCTGAGGCTTCTGGGAGCTGAAGTCTCTTGGCCCTTAAAGGGGAAAGGTTGCCTACCCCTGATATAGGTGGTGGCACAGCAAAATCTATCTATGTATATATCCTTTTAAAAAATGTATTTGCACATTAGTTTCATATTTAGCAATGTTGTTGTTGTTGTGTGCCTTCACTTTGTTTCCCACTTATGGCCACCCTCAGGCAAACCTATCAAGGGGTTTTCCTGGCAAGATATATTCAGAAGCATATCATGACATG